GCGTCCGGAGCCTGTGCTCCGCAGCGGGAGAGGCCACAACAGTGAGCACCAAAAAAGCAAAGAAAAAAAAAAAAAAAAAAAAAAAAACCTGGCTCACTTAAAATTAATGGGAAAATATTTGGGGGAAAGGCCCCAAATTATGGAAAGGCCCAAATATTTCTGGCCCCTCGGTAGTGAAAGTGTGGAGTCCTAACCACTGGACTGCCAGGGAATTCCCAGCATTTTTGAAACAACTAAAAAGGAGTAGAGACCTGGTAGTAGAGATTTATAGCGAATGGATATTGTAGAGATGGCTTTCCTACTACCATTAATAATATTGCAGTAGTGTAATAGTTAAGAAATGCCATTTATTGAAAGCTTTATTATGAGTACAAGCCCCTTTCATCCCCACTTCATGGGTGAGGAGACCAGGAGCCCAGGGTCCCCAGAGCAGCATAGACAGTTCTGGGTTTTAACTCAGGTCTTATATGACTGTGGGTCCGCATTCTAGCGTGCTGAGGAAATCCAGTGAGTTTCGCGTGAAGGTGACATGGAGGAGATGGGATAGTTTCAGATGTCCCAGGACTAAACTACAGTTTAGGGCAGAGGTAGACCTCGTTCTGTGTTGCACACCACAGACAGATTTCTGTTCAGTGTGAGAGAGAGTGTTTAATGATTAGGCCTCTCCAGTTTCTGTTTGTTTACTGCTGTACCCTAGCATCCAGGTGCAGAAGGCCTCCAGGACTATTTGCTGAAAGAAGGAACGAGGCCGGCCATGTGAGGGCATCACTGCACTGTCCAGGCAGACACCCCTGCGCCCCGTGTGTATTTCTTTTGGGCCACTATAGAAGTCACTGTGCTGGTTAGGAAGTTGGACTAAACAGCATAAGGCCTCTTCAACAAACACTGAATTCCACCTACCTGACCCTAGTTAGAATTCTTAGCCCAGTAGTAAATGTATTCCATCCTAATAGCTTTGGGAAGTCTTTTGAGTCTATCCCAAAATCATTATATTGATAAAAATTAGGCTAAATTTTTGTGAGGGCAGGACTCTTCCCCCCCACCCCACTACATGACTAGCATCTAGCACATATCCATCATATGTGACAAATCTGTATTGTTGAAAGAAAACTATATTGTGGAAGGAAGAAAGATACCAGGGGAGTAAGGATGTGATGTGTAGAGACTTTTGGTCAGGCAGAAAGGAAGAACGCTCTCTTATTTGTGATTTTTATGATTGTTCACTATCCTATAGGTTTTGAGTACTTAAAAAAAAAAACATTTTGACTTTTAAAAAGTAAGGTTTGGTTTTCATTATTACACCCTTGAGGAGTGTCACCTTTTTGCACATGATACTGGCTTGGTAGCCACCAGAAGGTTTTTTCTTTATAAAGTTAATTATCATGAATGTGACCAAGATGCACTTCATGTACCCAGTAAGTTACTACAACATAATAACAGAAAGCTTTCAGTACCCCTTAGCTTTGTGATAGGCACTGTATTTAAGTGAGACCCTATGTAGCTCAGTTAATGTTCACAAAAAACCCATGAGTCTGTGGACTGAAAGAGATGCAATTAATTTCAATAGGATTTTTGAGCTAACTCAGTAATTCTCTGCACAGACCAGAGTGAGCTCCGAGCAGGAACACTTCCTCATTGTACCTTTTGGACTTCTCTACAGCGAAGTGACTGCATCCAGTTTGGTAAGAATGTCCTTCTCTTCTTGGGCATCAAGTATATGTAGGTCATGTTAGGTAGTTAAATACCGTCTAATCTCATTAGACATGTAAAACCCAAGAAAGAGGAAAAACTCTATGTTTTGTGTGATTAACTCAGGGAAAAACTTTTAAAATTAGTTATAAACACTTTAAACTTTGGTTTTAAGTAGTTCTAGTTAGGATAACATGAAATCCTCTTGATATTTAAGATTTTGCTTTCTTATTTCAGGTTAAAGTCAATCTACAAGGAGAGGCAGTGGACCGTGGAAGTACTAATCTAGGGGTAAATCAGGCTGGCTTCACGTTACATTCTGCCATTTACGCTGCACGCCCGGACGCGAAGTGCGTTGTGCATGTTCACACACCAGCAGGGGCCGCGGTGAGTGCACTGCCCTGGTAGAGACTTCAAGTTTAAAGCCGTTCAGTGAGCGGCACTTCACATTTCCTCCAAATTGCCCTCTCTTGTTGCACCAAGTCAACAAACCTCATTTTGTTGGATTAGAAAAATCTTTTTTCCTCACTACATTTGACTTTCTTAAAAGAATATATTTTAAGGGGTCCATTTACTGTCTGATTTTGAAAAACATGTAATAAGTCTGAAAATGTTGTAAGACTCAACGATTAGAAAATCAGTGTTGAAGAGGGGAGTGAGATTTCAGCGTATGGGAGACTGGGAAGTGCAGAATGACAGCAGTGAATTGAGACTCCTTGGTTGAGAAGAGAAGTGGGAAGAGGAGGGAGGGTGAGGTGAGGTGGTAGGTGGGGGACGCTGGGCTCAGGCAAGGGTTTGTGGGATGCAGGAGACTTGAACCTGCTAGACGGTCTGAGGGGAAGGTGCCAGGCCTGTGATGGAGAGGTTGAGGCCGAGAGACACACCGGCCAGCCTCCACAGATGATCTACCTGGAGTTGGCGAAACCCAGGCTGGATTGTGACTGGGGAGAGTAATACCGGGGAAGGAGTTCCCTGGTGGTCCAGTGGTTAGGGCTTGGCGCTTTCACTGCCCTGGCCGGGTTCAGTCCCTGGTTGGGGAACTAAGGTACCCTCAAGCCGGGCGGCGCACCCAAATATAAAAAAAGAAGGGGGAAGTGGGCACAGACGCTGCAGACTCTTAGGAGACTTGGCCCTTGAGCCCCCAAGCTTGCCAGGAGCCTGCCCCATCCTGATCACCAAGCCTGGACCCTGCTGGTGCACACAGGCCACCTGACCAAGCCTCGGACCCCTCAGTATGTATGAAAGTGTACTTTCTGGTTGTTGGTACAGTCATGTGAAAGAGAAGCACTCAAGAACTGTCTAGAATTGTCTTTTTTATCACCAGTTTTATACTTTAATGACTTCCTGGGCTTACTTGTTTGACAGATGACCTCATTGATTAAGTAATACTGAATTTCACTCTATCTTGATGTTTTAATGTCATAGATCTTGGGTTGTTTGGATGAATGTTGGATCTGGTTTGTTTGTTTTACTTTGAAGATATGGTTCTTGACGTCAGCATCAGTTTTATTAGTTATATCATTCTCCAAATGATGTAATTATTTCTTAAAAGAATGCATGTTCTTCCAAACCCAAAAAATCCATGGAAAAAAAAAAAGAAAAATCCATGCATTTTAAAGAACCATTAGAGGTACCTTTGAGACTATGGTTATCACAAATAGCATGTAATTTTTTTTTTTTTTTGCGCTACATGGGCCTCTCACCACTGTGGCCTGTCCCGTTGCGGGGCACAGGCTCCAGATGCGCAGGCTCAGCAGCCATGGCTCATGGGCCCAGCCGCTCCGCGGCATGTGGGATATTCCCAGACCGGGGCACAAACCCATGTTCCCTGCATCGGCAGGCGGGCTCTCAACCACTGCGCCACCAGGGAAGCCCGTAATTTGTTTTAAAAATGATCAAAGTAACTTTACTTTGTAAGGAAATATCTTCTTATAGAAAGGCTGATATTGTGAAAGGAATTAAATATGGTACTGCCTTTTTTGTGGTATTGTCTTTTTAGATTAACTTTTCTGTAAGAAATTGTTACACTTACATATGTATTATTTAAATCTTTGGGGCCTGTTAGTCTAGGTAGAAGACCTTTAAAATTAGCATATTCTGAAGTTAGCTTGGGAAAGTTAAGGAAATTAAAGGGCTATATGGACACTTAGATTATTCACTTAAATAAATGTAGAGAATTTATACAGTATAATTATCCTAAATCTTTATAAATCTCCTTTTATCTGACTTTCAGGTGTTCCTATCTCACCTACAAAAGTACACAAAACCTTAAAGCTCTTCAGAAACCCCTCTTTGCAATGTTGTGACTCATTCAGAGGAAGCCATTATCCCTCCTTGCAGTAGATCCAGGACTCATCTTATTAAATCCGAGCTCACTTGGTGTTTACAGTCAGTATGGGAGAAATCCAGAAAGATGTGGAATTTCTTTTGAGGCCTTCCTTGACAGTGGTAGCTTGATTTTTAAAAATAGATTGGTGGTGAGCCCCAGAAGTAAGGTTTATCTTAAATTCATGGGTTCATTCATTTCTGAAAGGAGAACAGAGTAAAATATCTTCCCCCCGTTACGTTTTTGAGGAAAGCATTTGCCGTGTCGTCAGTGTAGCTCCTGATTCGTCTTCGTTGATGGTGCTGCTTGTTCTCTAGGTCTCTGCGATGAAATGTGGCCTCTTGCCAATCTCCCCAGAGGCACTTTCCCTTGGAGAAGTGGCTTATCATGATTATCATGGGATTCTGGTTGATGAGGAAGAAAAAGTTTTAATTCAGAAAAATTTGGGGCCTAAAAGCAAGGTCAGTAGGCATCTAATCTGGTATATAAATTACAGAGGAAAGAAGAAAAACGTATCTGTCTTCTTGCCTAGGTCCATAGAGCTTTCCTGTTTCCTCCCTTTAGGTTCTTATTCTCCGGAATCACGGGCTTGTATCCGTTGGAGAGAGCGTTGAGGAGGCCTTCTATTACATCCATAACCTTGTGGTTGCATGTGAGATCCAGGTAGGTGGTGGCTGTTCCGTTTGGTCTGTAGTATACTTAGGTGTTTGTGGGGTTCCCACAGATTTTTGATACTTGTTTTGCAGCAGTGAGTCTGTGAGCGATTTCTTTGCTAAAGATGAGCTCATGGATTTGGAAGATGACCAGGGAAAATGCTGTTTCACTGATTTAAATCGGCAAATGATTATTGGGCTTTTCATTTCTAACTTTTTATTTTTCAAATACATAAGTCACTGCCATTGATGGAGTACTAGCATATGCCAGCCCTGCTATCAGGTGCTTTATTTATGTTACTACATGTCATTTCATTTGAACTCCACACACTCTTTTTGAAAAAGTGGGTGCAGGGAGTAGAGACATGCCCACAGTCTCACAGCAGTGGGCTCTGCTTGTGCTGAGTCTGCTCGGCCCCTGTGTGCGTTCCTCACTGTCACTCTGGCTTGTGTCTGTGTGGTGATGCAGCCCCCAGTCCCCTTCATATGGCCTTGGGAGAGCTTTGTCTTCCCTTTTTTGTCCTTCTAGTATGAGTGCCCAATATTTTTTCATGCTAAAGAAAACCTTCTGAAAATTACCTTGTGATTTGTCTATCAGTGTCCGTCTCACATTTTTTATTATAATGATTTGGTTTCTTTTGAAACCTACATTTCTGTTGAAGTGATCTCTCATAGGCATCTGACCCCCTTGATCAGCAAGGAACTCCAACTGTAGTGTTTGCTTGTTTTGGAAAAGGTTCGAACTCTGGCCAGTGCGGGAGGGCCAGACAATTTAGTCCTCCTGGATCCTGGGAAGTACAAGGCCAAATCCCGTTCCCCCGGGTCCCCGGCAGGGGAGGGCAGCGGATCGCCTCCCAAATGGCAGATTGGTGAGCAGGAGTTTGAAGCGCTCATGCGGATGCTGGATAATCTGGTAAGAATGTTGCCACCACTTGATGATACAGCACTCATCCCAACAGCACAAATGTTAGTGTTTTTATAGTGAGTGAAATAGTATTGTGAAATTGCTGTCTTCATGCATTCATTAATCAGAATGCTTTCACCCTCAAGAGTCATGAAAAAGCACCAGGGCAATTTAACTTCTAAACTACGATTGAATACACAGGTGAGGGTTTCTTGTCTCCTTTTGTTTTTTAAAGGTACTCTTGTTTGGACTGTGTGGGGTCAGGAGCACAGAGAATGCTCTGCTCTGCCGGATGAGTAACTCCTCGAGTAGCAGGGTCAGCGCAGTACCCGTCATCCCGAGCAAGCAAGCTGTCGAGGGGACTTTCTAAATCAGTCGGCCAAGTGTCTTGTTTTTGTTTTAACGGTAAATTCTAGCTATTCGGGGCCTGACTGCTGTGTTCCACACACTTTGCTGCCGATTTATTGTGTGGGAGACCCTCTGCTGCTTCCTGCGGGGACATGGAGCCCAATGTGGTACAGGAGCGTGGCTGCAGGGCTTTTAGCATAATAAGAACATTCTGATAGTATGTGGCAGGATGTGGTCTGTTAGGTGGCTGCAGTGAGGGATGTCATCCTTTTGTAAGGATCAGGGAGGAAATTTATGTAGAGGGTGGCACTTGAGAAGGACCTCACAGAAGAGGTGGAAGCGTGGCAGGCTGAGTTGGGGGAAGGAAAGCATCTGTAGCAGAGGTGAGGGAACGGCTGGAGACATGGCAGCACGACAGGGTCATGCCTTTCAGGTCCGTCTCTGATCTCGCCAAGTTCTTTAAATATTCACAACAAGGCACTTAGGGTGGAAGCAATCACATTAAAAGACAAATGACTCTGTGATGGGGCCCTTTTCCTGCTGCAGTGTCATACCTCTTCAGTAGGATTCAAGAGAGTGTCCTCCTGCCACATGATGTTAGGTGCTGGAGAAGAAAAAGACCTGTCGTGGGCATGTGGGACAGAGAAGACACTGGAAGGGCATGTTGCCAGCTTCACATTAAGAAAGTCGCCACAATTGGACCAGGTCACGGGTGGGATGGGTGGCTTTAGGAAGATCTTGGAAGAAAAAGAATTCATGGATCTGATTCAGGGTGTGCTAAGTGTCCTCAGAGGGTTCTTCTCACTGAAATTCTTTGGACTTAGGAGAATGTTCATTGCTGGAAAGGGAGAGCTGGGAGTTAACTGCCTAGAAGTGGTAGTCACAGGAGTAGATTTGATCAGTGAGGGAGGGGTGAACCTCCCATAACTTCTGCATTCATTTGCTCAGTAAGTGGGTTGTATTAACTGACCACCTAGTCTTGAGCCTGTAGCCATGACCAGGACACAGTTCCTGCCCTCAGGGAATTCATGGCCTAGTCAGGGAAATGGACAAACAAGTCCCGGATACAGTCCGGCACCTGTGACGTGTGCACTGACGGAGCATGAAGGCAGCTGCAGGGCGGAGGGGGCGCGTGAGCCGGGACTGCTTCCAGGGAAGCAGCAAGAGGAAGAAAGCTCGCTGAGACGCTGAAAGAGGCAGAGGCCAGGACAGTGCAGTCTCAGGGAGGTCACACCTGGAGAAGGTTTGAGAGTGGGTGGTGGTCGCTCAGGCATCTGTATCCGGAGTCCGATACCCCGAGGGGCCTGGCAAGGTGAGGAACGCTGGGGCGACCCAGGCTTACTGGCCCTTCTTCTGTCCTCTTAGCAAATATTTTGACGTTCACTGCGCTTATACCTAAAAGTCAGGCGGGGAACGGGAGGAAGGAATAAAAATCAGGAACACCAGCCTGCCACATCTTGTGCACTCAGTACATTCTGGAAGGTGGAGAGAGAGAGAATTAAAATTAGTGACTCCAGTTTGATAGGGGAGGAAGATAAAGGATGAAAGATTAATAAACGAGATTACAGCAAAAAGGGTGTTTTATTCAGTGCCCTTAATGTGCACAGGTTATTTCTGACATTAGAAGGCTGTGTGGTTTATAAGAAGTAAAGTTGAACGGCGGTCACTGATGCTAGTCCCTGTTTTAATTTAACATTCTGATCTACTGTATGTGTTTGCTAGTAATTGAGTAGGGTAGAGAATAGTTGAGGGTTCTCACACTATAAGGAGTAGGTCATATAAAGTCCATGAACATTTCTGACAAAGAAAGTCAGAAGAAATGCTAGTTTGTTTCCCGATCAAGATACAATTCCAGCTTCTCAAAGAAGGGATGAATCCATATTTTTAACTATAAGCCATATAGGAGGTCTGAGGGGCTGAGTATTGCTTCTGATTTTGATTTGGCATTTAAAGGGGAAGAATAAAGAAAAAACCCATACCCTTTCAGAATAAAATTTTGTGATGTCCTGATTGGTTTATTCTGAAGTCATGAAGATTACTCAAGAGTCCTGGCTCTCTCAGCAAGAGGACACTTGAGTTAATAAGAACTGTATTTTTCTGAAGGTAGTCTTTTTATAGCTGAGTGGTTATCTTTTATTATTCTTCAGCAAAGCATGTTCATAAATGGAGAAGTTGCCAGTGCAGACATTTACCTGTCTTCCTGAGGGTAGTTACGAAACAAGAGTAAACAAAACAACAACCAACTCCATTCAGGGGTTATTACCACCCTTTTTTGAATGTATTAAGGGAATGATTAGTAATAAAGGTGGTGACCCCCATAGAGGGCAGTCACCCAGAGGGGGGCGAATTCCCGAATTGAGAGGAACACTTCTGCAGTACTCGGCAAGCAGAGCGCCGCCACCAACTCATCCTGCATGACCAGCCCTGTGTAATCCTTTCAAATCCTAATTCTCTTGTCATTCATTGTGAAGCTGCCATAAATGACCTGGTCCAGGTGTGAGACTGTGGGTCAGGAGTCCAGGCACAGCTGAGCTCGGTCCTTGGCTTAGGGTCTCACAAGCCTGCAGTCAGGGTGTTGGCCTGGGCTGGGTTCTCATCAGAAGGCTCTACTGGTGGAGGATCCAATTCCAAACATCCTCACGTCATGGGCAGAATTCATGTTCTTACAGCTCAGGAGTCATGGCAGCTTGCTTCTTCAGAGCCAGCGATGGGCAGAGAGACTTTCTCAAGACGGGTGCTACACTCTTATGCAACATATCCCATCACCTTTGCCGAGTTCTACTGGTTTGAAGCAGGTCGCTGGTTCCCCTCACACTGCAGGGGAAGGGCTTTACAGGAGGTGGGGGCCTGGGGGGGCCACTGTAATGTGTGTCCGTCACAGCTAATGAATGCTCAGCTCTGGAGAGGAAGGGTGAGTCAGACGCCATCCTTGCCTTGGAGATGCTGTCTGTGGGCTATTAGCACGCAGGTGGGTCAGCACAGTAGGCTCAGTGCCATTACAGAGGCGGGAATTAGTGGGGCAGGCGTTTTAAAGCACAGCAAATTGTTGTGAAACAGGGTTGAAGGTTAATGCAAATATTGTTACGTTCAGAAGTAAAGTAATTTCTCCAGGTACCAGTTGTCATGAGGTGTACTTGTTTGGTCTTCCTGAAAGATTTTCACTGTGACTTAACAGGTTAAAAAAAAATGTTAAGTAGGCTGATTAATATAACTTATAACCAGCAGCAAGTAAACCCTGATCTTTTAAATTTTAAATTTTGGTTATATATATATATATATATATATAGGAGAGTGTACCTGTTTAAGTGTTCAGTTTATCAATTTTTAAAAACTGAACACACTGTGTAACCAGCACCCATATCAAAAAACAATACCAGCACCTCAGAACCTCGTATCCCCCTTTGAGTCTCTTACCCCATCCCAAGGGTGACCGCTATGCATCCTTCTAACAGCAAAGATTGGTTTTGCCTCTTTTTTGCTTTTTATAAATGGAATCATACAGTATATTCTTTCACATTTGGTTTCTTTCACTCAATACCGTATTTGTGAAGATTCACCCAGATTTTGTACTAGTAATATTCTCATTGCTCTGCTGTGTGAATATACCACCGTTCATCTATTGTACTGTTGATGGACTCTTGGGTTTTTCTACTTTGGGGCTTTGGGAACAGTGCCGCTGTTAGCATTTTCATACCTGTCTTTTGGTGAACATATTGGCGTTTCTCCTGGGCGTGCATGTACATAGGGTGTGCATATAGTCAGCTTTTGTAGATATTTCCACACAATTTTCCAAAGTGAAACTCTTGTTTTCAGATCTGAAATATTGACTGTGTCTCTGTCTCTGGCCCCTAGGGTTACAGAACTGGCTACCCTTATCGATACCCTGCTCTGAGAGAGAAATCTAAAAAATACAGCGACGTGGAGGTTCCTGCCAGTGTCACAGGTTACCCCTTTGCGAGTGACGGTGATTCGGGCACTTGCTCCCCTCTCAGACACAGTTTTCAGAAGCAGCAGCGAGAGAAGACAAGATGGCTGAACTCTGGCCGGGGTGACAATGCTTCTGAGGAAGGGCAGAGCGGAAGCAGTCCCAAGTCGAAGACTAAGGTGTGGACGAACATTACACACGATCACGTGAAACCCTTGCTGCAGTCTCTCTCGTCCGGTGTCTGCGTGCCAAGCTGTATTACCAACTGCTTGGTCTGTGCCTACCTTACTGTTCATAGTTAGATGATGTAGAGCACGTCTGGCAGCTGGGGCTTCGGAGGCTTTGGGAACCTGGCCCTTCTGACCCAGGGCTAGGCGAGCCTTCCTCAGTAACCTTCCTTAGCCTGAACCCAGATCCACTTTTGCATCAGATATAATTCAAGTAATACTGTCTGCTTGAAACTGCTTAAGATATGTTGTACCTCTGCAGTAACTCCAGCATACCTATCTCCGTACACAGCAGACATGCTGCATAACTACATGGATTAACCTAAAAGGAGGAGCTGTCGTTCAGCTCAAATTGTATTTGTAGAGTCTTTAATACTTCTTGACAAAAAGACGGTTGAAGCATTACCTCTTACTTTAAGGTTGTAAACTCAGCTGCTTCATTAAGTCACTAACTTAAGTCTGTTCTTTAAAGTCTTAGCGTTTTCTTAAGCAGTTTTCCCTCGTGGCTCATGGGCATCTTCTCAGCTGACCCTCATCCTTTCTCGTTAGCCTCCTTCCCTGTTTGCTGTCCCAAAGCCTCCGAACGCTCTCAGCCAGCTACTTTCTGCATGGACTGTTGCATGTGAGTAGACGGCCATAGTGGAGAGTCTTCTGACTCCTGCTGGGTGTGGCATGACCCAAGTGCAGCCAGGCTATCCGCAGGCACCAGCGACAGGCGCTGAGGCGAGCTTCGTGTCAGGAGTAACGCTGCCCTGAACGCTACTCTGCCGTCTGGTGCTCAAACGTCCCTGGGCAGCGCTAGACCTGGACAGGCCACTGGCCCCTGCATCAGAGTAGGAGAGGCCCTCAGTGGAGCCTCTTGTGAGGAGATGGAGGCTGGGACGCACGTGTCTCTGCATGATTAGTTCCATAGGAGTTGAGGAGAGATCAGCCTAGATGTGCTGAAACAGGACACCAAGTAAGCAAAGCGGGCCTTCCTTTTTCCCTTGTAACAGTGCTTTTGCTGTATAGATTTATTTAAAAGAAATAAGTTCTGTCTTCCCCAGGTGGTTCTGGTGTTTTCCTGATGCACAGTTGTTGAGACAGCCTCTGTGCTCCTAAGGAAATGTGTCATGTGGCAGAGACTCTGCGTGAATATGGCTGGGGTCGGTGTTTGAGCCCGTCTCCCCTTTCCTGCTCCCTCTCACCCACTTCCTCTCTCTCTCCCTCTGTCCCTTATTTTCTTTTTTCATTTTATTTGTTTAGCTTGTAACTTATTTCACTTGTTAAACAGAGTGGGCCTAAAAACAACTTCTGCTGACCACATACATATGTAGTGCTGAATTGCTGTGATGAATTTTTCCAAAGTGTATGTGTAGCAGCAGCTTTGAGCCTTATTTACTATTAGCTTGAAAACAATATTAAATTGCTTTAGGTATTTTAGTCACTGTGTACATTGAAGGGGAGACTTTGTTCAACTTTTAAATTTGTTTCTTACTGTTCTGGAGTAATACGAATTCCATGTGCTGTTTTCAGGTTGGTATATTAATTTATAATTATTCTTAAGTTTTCAAACTTGTTCAAGCTTCTGAGGTTGTTGTTTTAATGTTTTAACTACAAATTATTTTTAATAAGAAGCTGGAGTTACTTTTATCTGAGGAGATAAAGCGTCAGTGAGTATCTCACAGCTCATGCCCATTCCACGCTGCCTTCACAGCGGCCCAGCATTGGACGGTTTTGCTGCTTTCTTTAAAGTCTCGGTTTATGGCTATCTTATTGCCTCTTGAAAATATTCTGAAAGGCATAACATTTGCTCTCTACGATGGGCTTGTTTTAGTGTTCAGTGCCTACTCATGCCTAAGAATTAGAATTTGATTAAAAATCTCATATTTGATCGGAGGTCCGAAAAAAAGTACGCATGAAAGGTGCAGCATGCTGATATAATATGCACTGGTATCTAAAACAGCCTTCCAGTAAGGGTTCATGAGCGCTTTAAGTTTGTTTGGGACATTTTTGTAACACTCAAAAGTATTAATTATATAAAGTATTTGACATCACCAAACTCTTCTGCAGGTAGCTACTGTATAAGTCTTCATACAGTAATCTTCTTGGGTTGAAACAGCTACACAAACAGTACATTCTGGTGCGGTAGTTTATTTTAATGCAAAACTTTGGTGATGCCCACTCTTGCCTCACCGCAGAGTCTCCCCTCACCTGGACAGCAGCATCACACCGCTTCTCATGACCCTGTCATCTCATGCTTCCAGCTGGCTTTGGTGTTGAGGACTCTCGGAGTGGTGAACCAGTGTGCTCTGAAGGGTCCCCCGCGGCTTGTCCGAGGGAGTCATGGGGCACAGCTCTGTCGTCAGCCCATGTCGCGCCCTAGATTTCAGCTGGGCATTCTGACTGGGCCAGTCAGTCAGAGCTCTGGCTTCCAGCATTACTGGTTTCCAGCCACTGCAGTGACCCAGGCGGTGTGGTCATTGGTTCACTCTCTGTGAAGTTCGGTGCATGACCAGATGTGAGAGGAGTTGGACAGATGGATGCTGTGGTGTCACTTACTGTTGTCACGATTCTGACTTTTCGACTGTCCTTGCTATTCCAGTGGACTAAAGAGGATGGACATAGGACTCCTGCCTCTGCCGTCCCGAACCTGTTCGTCCCACTGAACACCAACCCAAAAGAGGTCCAGGAGATGAGGAACAAGGTGTGCACCGACTGCCACCAGCAATCGGTGGAAGCTGATGTGCGTGCGGGAGGAGGCGGCCCTGGGTGGGGCAGGAGGCCTTCGGCTGCAGGGGGAGAGGGTGTAGCTCCAGGAGGACCTCCGCTGCCACCATGTGACTGCCGAGGTCCTCCCTTCACACTGCTTTGCTGCTGTGCTGACGAAGTGCAGTGGCAGTGTGTGAGCAGCAGACGCTTTGGCCCCTGTTGTTGAACCAACACCTGCTCACATAGCAGGGCAGAATTGAAGGTGCAGAGCCTGTTCCTAGCAAGAACAGCCTTTGCCCCCTGCCTTGCAGGGTTCATTTGAAGAGTTAGAACGTTTGGTATATTGGAACATGAGATCCACCAGTGTCACTAAAAGATGGGCACACAGGGGGTGCCTCCCCTCAAGTTAGTGAGTTCAGTGAGGTCTGTGCCTGCCGAAGTCGTCTGGAAAGGACCCTCCATCTCCTCAGACCCATGAATTACTAATCGGGCTGGACCAGCACCATTAAGCGGGCACGGTGGTCACGCAGGACCCACTGGGGTGCAGGGCAGAACAGAAGAGCAGCTTGTGCTGGGGGGCCCAAGCGCACAAGTGGTGACTTTCAGTCACAGCGAGGTTTCCCTGTACTGTTGATGGGTGTTTCCCTTCTTGCCATCCTCAGATTCGAGAGCAGAACCTACAGGACATTAAGACCGCTGGCCCCCAGTCCCAGGTGTTGTGTGGTGTAGTGATGGACAGGAGCCTCGTCCAGGTGAGAGCTCAGAATGTCTCTGACGCTAGTGGGTGGTGGCTCTAATGACTGCCTGCTCCAAAATTATTCTTAAGTTGGGAGAGAATGACTATGAGGTAAGTGTCCTAGGCAACCAGTTTTCTATGTTCAAAGTCTTCATGATAAGAAGTAACCCAGCCACTTTTCCTTGAGTGGTAGACCAAGCATAAGCATGCCCAGGGCCATGTCCCCCTCCAGCCCAGCTCCACGTCGTGCATGCCTGGCTGAGGGCCTGGGTTCGCCCGGTGTTAGCGGTGAACTGTGTACAACACTGGAAGAGGGTGGGTGTCGTGGACTTTGGTTCTTGTAGATTGCTGTCCACAACAAAGTGCTGCTTGGGGAGAAGTGCAGAGGGTTCCTGTAAATGTGGTCCACATTTACACGCATTTCTGTAAAAGGATTGTACCTCATGGCACATTGAAGATAATTGTGTAAGTAGTTATCTCTGAAAATTAAGTTGCCACCGAATGTTTTAAACATGACTCACCGGGGTTGGTGATTGTTGTTGCATTTTCTGACGTTGGCCAGCTATGGTCCTGGTTCTGTGGCCCGTGTTTGCACGTTGCACCGCCATCACCGCTGCATCGCTGTGGACGGCTGTCCCGCTGCATGCTCTCAGCTGGCTCCATCCTGTGCTCTCGTTGATGTTCCACAGCCGGGCCTGGTGGGCTCTGACGACTCAGTTTACTGTTGCAGGACGCGCCCCTCTCTGACTGTACGGAAACAATCGAAGGGCTCGAGCGTACAGAGCAGACCTTTAGTCCCGCTAAGTCTCTCTCTTTTAGAAAGGTACTCACCGCCCCGTCCTCAGCTACCTGTCGGCACACCCTGCTCTTTACCCGCCCTGCCCCTTACCTGTCGCTCTCGCTAGGTATTGTCTTAGGTATTGCAGGAGCTTTAAACGGATCTCTCAATTATTTGTGAGATCGTCCGAAAGGTTCTGTTCTGCTTATTCGGTTCTTTAAATACAGCATTTTGTATGAGGTTATTTTTACAATTTTTAGCATTTTTACGTTGTGCTGAGAAATGGCTGATCTTAGGGATGTTTCTGAAGTTCTGCATGTGACTTTGGTTGGTGCATGCTTTGGGGATTTAGGAGCTTGCCTTTTCCAAGGTGCCAACTTCAGAAGGCTCACGGGTGGGCCGCGAGCGTGTCAGCTCCCCCGCGAGACCTTCCGCCTTCGCTTCTCAGCTGTGACCGCGGGTGCAATGAGCACGGCAGTCAGAGGTTGTAGGATTGAAAGACGTCGTTTCAGAGGGATGGGAAATGAAACAGGACAGTTTTGCCAGCCCTTGTTGAGGAAATGTATTTTTACCTTAAAAAAATAAAAAATAAAAAAAACCTAGATTGTTTTAAATGTTGCAAGGGGGAAGAAATACTTATGAAAATTTGAAACCCAGAATTGTAATTTCTCTGTGTACGTGGGTGCCTGACCTGTACAGTAGGTGGAAAATGTATCTGGTGTAACTTGCCCAGGTGGAAGGAAACCCTCTACGCACTCAGGCTGCTAGTGTGCAGAGCCAGCGTGGCTGACCACGCGGCTGAGTGTCTTAGTGGTGTGTACCCTGTGTTCAAAGGGAATTTTCAGGGTCTCTTTCGATTAATACACCCGCAGTGAGAGGCAAATATCATTTTATCAATGTTCCCATTGCCAGAGAAATCAGATTTGCACTAATGATTCTATATTCCTGTCTGGAAGCCCTGCTGATAAAATTTTCTTGCACATTTATGTATTAATTCAGTGGGCCCCATTTTTCCTTGTCCTTAGCGTGTACTTGCAGCTGCCGTTCTTAGGGAACTGCTCAGAGCAGGGGAGAAAGATGTCTTCTTACCCTTGTTGCTTGTTCCTCATGCTGCTACTTTGGACCAGAAGCTGTTGTGATCTTGTTAGTTCATAATTCTTTCTCTCAGATGCGTCCAAGTGTGTTGAGTCCATGACCCCAGGGTGCTTACTGTGAAAGCCCCAAATCACCTCCAGCTTTGTGGGCTCGAGCCAAATTCCTAGTCATTGCTGTGCAGTCTCTCCGGCATTACACTGCGCTTGGTGGTTTCTGTGTGCTCCTGTGAGGGCTGTCTGCAGGGTCGGCCGGGGAGCTGCACTGGAGGGAGCTCTCGTGGCTCCAGTTACAGTCTGGCTCTCGCTCTGCCGAGTGGTGCTCGGATTTGGGGGCGCGTCACAGTCACCTGCGACCGCTTCACGAAGTGTCCATAGGGCCCCCCCTCACGCCTGGCTGGGAAGTTGAGAGTCTGTGGGAGTGAGACTCCTGGAGATTGCGGCGTCCTCCCCACAGCATATCTGAGCGGCGTGCCGCTGTGAGTGCTGTGTCCGGTGCGGTTAGCCGAGGAGACTGCTCGCAGCTGGGGAGATACCGACATCCCCGGACACAGACTTCTGTCCCTGGTTTTCCTCCCCCATCCTCCTGGCGCTCGCATTTGCAGCCTTGGTCTTCTTCCCGCGGCGGGTGTCTCACTACAGCGGTGAGAGTGTGCTTTGACTCCACCAGCGGCCTGGACTGGGTCTGTGTCCACATCCTTTGGTGTGGACCTCAAGATGCAGATGGCATTACTCCTGGAAGATGGCACTGCTTGCTGGCAAGTTGAGTTCTAACTTGACCAGGGAAGGACTGGGGTTGTTAATGTTCTAAACGCGTCCTCTTCTTGGTAAGGCAAGTGTATGGATACTTGGTTCCCGTTTGAGAACTTGAGGAACCAGGTGTTTGGGACTCGGGAAGTTGAGGCTTTTCTGGAGGACTTTGCTTTACCTCCATCTCTCCCTCATGGTGATAGCTGTTCACACAGGGCAGGGGGTGTCTTCTGACGGAGGAGGGGCAGTGCGTCACCAGCCACACCCCAACACTCGGGTTCTGAGAGGAACGCTGAGCCCTGCTGCAGGCGCGCTTGGCTCCAGTGCCGCAGAAGCCAGCATGCAGCCCTCTGGCCCTCATCACGACTGAATCGAGTTGTTAGAGACCAGGGTGGGAAAGTCTACGCCGAAAGTTGTCCAGCGCGGGGAAGAACTCTGTTGTGCGATTTGTGTAGCGTAAGCTTTCCTGTTGGCGCATGTGCCTGCAGCCCCCTGCCGCATGGTAGAAACGCAAGGAGGCCTGCGGCCCAGCTTGTGGACTCACCCAGTGCACTCGGTGTTGAGCACCTGGTGTGTGTGTGGCCCAGCACCTGGAGTGTAAATTCAAACCTGCGTAGGTTTTACAGGTGAAAACCTGCTGCTCAGAGAGGTCAGGGCGCTAGACCAGGGTTTGCACAGCTTCGGAGCTGGAGCTGTTATCCCACACAGGTGGTGTCAGTCGGGGCAGACGTAGTTGCTGGGCATCTGTCCTGCTTAGAGCCCGTGGTGGTGGCTCCAAGTGACGGCAGCAGCGAGAGTCTCTGTGGGGCCTGCTGGCGGGAGCAGCCGCTGCGCATCCTGGTTTCTCGGCCTGGGTTGCTCCACAGTGGGCCTGCGTCCCTCTGCATCTCAAGCATATCTGTGTCTCCTTCCCTCCAGAATAACAGGGTCCCTGTGTCCCTGTATCTGTTCAGACCTGGTCTGGAAGGCAGCTCGGCCCTCGGCTGAGGAATTTGGAGGAGGGAGCTCCCTGCTGGTGGGGGCAGGAGCCAGCCATGCTGCACCTCGAGGGCCAGGTGTTCCAGACAGAAAGGACCTTGCTTGACCACAGGGCATCTCCGTGGCAGTTGACTGAACATTTGATTTAAGTGATGTAAACATTTCTCTGAAAGCTCGAATCTCCATCTCATTTTACTGGCGGTGATACCAGGATGCAAACGCAGTTCCCTAGTTGCCGTAGAATGTTAGTGCTCAGCACGTCTTAGCTGTGGTCAGCCCGGCAGGCCCCTCCTGAGGCCTGTAAAACAGGCCCGTGGACAGGAAGGGGCTTGTCTTAGGCCACAGAGCTAACTCGTGGCAGACGAGGATCCGATCCCTGTCTGCGGAGGCTGGGCTACTTCTGAAGGAAAAGCCAGTCGACCTGGGCTTGGGCCCGCTCAGAAGGAGCCCCCTCCCCATCTAGGCAGCTGATTTCCGGTCTCGAGGCTCTCTGAGCACAGGCTGCGGATTTCGGCCTTTTCCTTCTCTCCCCTGGGGTCCGTGTCGCTGGACAGTGACTGCTCAGCCCAGGTTCCCAGGGGGGCAGTTGGCCGGTGAGCTGGATTTCCTGGGACTCGGCCTGGCCCTGTCTCTCGTGCACATCGCTGGCATGCCCTCTCCCTCTGGTGTTCGCCCACCGAGGAGAGCGCTGCCGGGACAGGCCTGGCATCGAAACGATTGTGGATTCTCCTGTTTTCACTGGTTTTCAGAAGTTCTCATTAAGTAATGGGCATGTGCTTGGGTTCTGGTTAACTTTCTCAAAACTGAGCCCCAGAGCGTGTGGGGGCCAAGCTGGCGAGCTGCGGGGCACCGAGCTGTGCTGGGCAGGCGAGGGTGGGCGGGCGTAGCGCCCGAGGGCCGCCCGCTGCTCCCTGCCTGTGCGGCCTGGCCGCCTTGGCCCCTCCTCCTCGAGGGCCGGGCCACCTGTGTGCTTCGCTTTGCTTAACCTTCCTTTTTTCTTTTGTATAAATTCTTACACTCTTCCAAATTCCTCAGACAAGTGCTGGTGTTTTGTGACATTCTGTTATCTCTTAATGTTTGGGGGTGAGTTACAGGATCTAGCTACAAATCAAATGCACAGTCAAAAGGACAGAACTTTTCTGTGCTCTTAGAGCATGAGCACATTTCCGAGCACACCCATCTGAGTGTTGTGGTCATGACATTTTCTGATTTGGGAGGACGGTAATCGACTTTAAAAGTCCCCTTTTCCATCCGTCCCTGTCTGTCTGTGAGGGGATGGCCCTCTCCCTGGGGTGCTCTACACACTTGACCTGCACGTTGGTGCCTTTGCTTCTGAAATCTGAAGGACTTTTCTAGGAGTCTCTCCCCAGCTGCATGTGTTTCTCAGTCTTCTACTGCTGAAGGCTGCCGCTCAGCCTAAGCCTCAGGGCCTCTCAGGGATGTGTGTGCGCCCCGCCCCACCCTTGCCCGGGAGGAGGGACAGTCCTGGAGCGGCAGGGCTCTTGTAGACCAGCCGTCCCTTTCTGTCCGCAGGGCGAGCTGGTGACGGCCTCCAAGGCCATCATTGAGAAGGAGTACCAGCCCCACGTCATCGTGAGCACCACGGGCCCCAACCCCTTCAGCACGCTCACCGACCGCGAGCTGGACGACTACCGCAGAGCGGTGGAGCGCAAGCACAGGGGCCCTGAAGGTGAGCAGCCCCGCGGGTGCTGGGTGCCGCAGGGCCAGCGCGGCGGTTCCAGAGGCAGGAGGACGTGCTCTGCGGGCTCCTCTGTCCTGGGCCGACTGTAGGTGGCGATGGAAGATAAGCCCAGCATGCCATTCCGTTCGCATCCTGCTCTGCTCCCGGAGAGGGCGGAATAGAGCAGTCTGTTCCCAAGAACAAGGCCGCGTGCGGCGGAGGCCGGCCCGGGTCTGTGACCTGCGCCCCTGCACACGGTCTCCTCCCACCCTCATCTCAGCTGAAGTCACGGCGGGGAGTTTCCTGACAGACTCTCCTCATTTTCTCCATAAGCCCGAGAGCTCCCTGGCTGGGCGTGGTCACAGGCCCAGGGACGAGTGAGCGTGGGGGGCTCTCTGGCACCTTTCCAGACCCTGTGAAGGGTGTGGCCAATGCGGGTGCAGCCTTTGTTTCTCTTGGTAGCTCACTGACATAGGAGGTCATATTTTTGTAAAACATGTTGGGACTATTTTACAACAAAGGAAAATAAATGGTTCTGAGAGCCAGAACCTCTTGGAGCAGCTTGTTTCAAACTTCAGGTTTTTAAAAGCACATCCAGACATTTTGAGAACTAAGAGATAAGCCAGCCCCTCCCACTGCCTCTGACACGAAGGCTCAGTGGGTCTGGGTTGGTTACCACGAAGACCCTGGGGCATGACGTCCCCTCCAGGAAGTTCATGCTGCTGCGTCCCCGGGACCTTAGCATGGACCACGCTTCTTGCTCTTGGGAGCAGCCGTCCTGGAATGGAAATAATCCCACAGTTACCCTCCAGGTCGATGGGGGACCATCCTGGGAACTATTCCTGCTTCAAACGCAACCTCTGATTTGCCCCAATTTAACTTTTTTTTTTTTAGTCTTGTTTTAGACCAATTACATAATGCATCACATAGCTGCTATTGGAATTTGAGTTGTGCAAAAAAACTACTGCTGAATTGTTTTTCAGTGTGTTACACCATCACTGCCTGTCACTTTGTTATATATGCATTAAAATTAAGGCCTGCTGCACATAGATTCAGAGTGAGCCTGATCTTCTGGTCCCAGCACTAATTCTCATCATCTCTGGAACGGTGCATGCAGCCCTGCAGAAAGCTCTGTCTGAGCTACGGCCACAATTACTTGCCTTCGAGTAAGACCTGGTGTGTGGGCCTGAGCTATTGGTCCTGTAGCCTAATCCCAGTTCCGGGCACATATATGTGTGTCTCCCCTTTGGACTCAGACCCTTCCAGTGTCTGGGAAACCTGGATTTTTTTTTTTTTTTTTTTTTTTTGAGTTAAACCACAAGATACAAATATTTCCTCTATATGTGAGGCTCCATGACGAGTGATGTCACAGCAAGTGAGTGGATGTGTATGGGGACAGCTGTGATCATGCTATGCGATCACAGAGCTGTCAGCAGTGGGAGTGGCAGCCAGGGCCCACTGCCAGGAAACCCCTGCCCAGCACTGGTGCTGGCTCTGGGCATGGCGGTGTGGGGCGGGTAGTGTGTGCCGCAGGTGACCTCAGGCTGTCTGTCAAAGGCAGCACCTCAGGCACGAGGAAGAAAGCCCCTGGCCTTTGGCTGCTTTTTCTGGCTGAAGGAATTTGTTCATTCAGGCAGGAGGTGTGAAGGCCTCTGTTTAGAGACACCTGGCTTCAGGAAGGGAGCTGCAGGCTCTGGGGTCTTGGGGAGGCAAGTTGGTCCGAAGCTATTAACGTGAAAAGTTTCGATGAGAGAAGGAGATTTAAGGCATTAAGATAATACTGGTATATATTTTTCCCCAAATGAGAGGGAGACTTGGAATTTTCTGGATCCTGAGTCCTACCTAGTTCTTGTAATTTTTTCCTCTGGTCCTTAGCATACTTTACTATGGAAAATAAAAATACGTGTTACAACTGCCAAGTTGAAATTATTGGTAGAAAATGCTCTAAATAACAAAACCGAGGTCACGCTCCTGTAATGTTGCCTGAGGTGGCAGGTAGGGCGAGGGTGCTTGGGACCCTGGGCTCTTGCCCAGCAGTGGGAGAGGCAGGATGCTGAGGACATGGGGAGGGGCCCCTCACTAGAGGACAGGAGAGGACAGGCGGGGGGTCACAGGTCACAGCCCATCACAGAGGCAGCTCTGGCAGATTCTCAAACCGAGATCCACAGCCCAGTCAGGAGTGGCTTCCTTTGTCCTCTTGTGTAGGAATGGGGAAAAGGCTGAGGCCAGCGGCTGCGAGCCCTTTCCTTCTTGGGCTCTTGCTTGCGGCCTGAGCAGCGCCCCCGCCCTCCCCGACGCAGCCTGATGGGCAGGGCGGGAGGGCCCGTCCGCCCGGGAGGGGGCGAGGGGAGGCCCGCCGTGTCCAAAGGCCTTCACCGTGCTCTTTCCGCCCTCTGTGCACCTGCAGAGAATCTGGACGAGACTAGAGAAGACAAAGAAGAGAGCCCTCCAGAGCCCCCTGCTGCCCCCCACACTCCCCCGAGCGCCCCCGTCAAGCTGGAGGAAGGTGAGCTCTGGGGTGGAGGTGGGTGTGCGGCTGCCCCGTGTGGGAGGGTGGTGCACGGCTGCCCGGGGCGGCATTGCCGGGAGGGGCCGAACTTCGTGGCTTTGTGTAAGAAAAGCAGCTGCGTGTGGCAGTAGTTGAACTGTTGAACTGACACTTAACAGCCGAGTGTGTTTGCATGGAAACCAGTACATCACCCGCTCCGAGCTTGCCCAGCCTCCTCTGCTCCCGTGTTGGTTCTGTCTGGGGTAATTTGAGGCAACACAGATTCGTTAGCGTGACATCACAGGTGGGAGGACAGTTGTTGGGGATCGGAACCTGCCTTCATTCACGATGTCAGTTTTGCCCACTGCTTGCACGTTTCCTAAACCTTCCTGTGCTCGGATCAGCCCCGGAAACATCCTCTGTTGTGTCTGGGCCACAGGGCTGCATTCTTTGGCCATATTTCCCAGTCCGTGGAGAGTGCCTGCCTCCCCTGGCCTCTCAGACCACCCACCGTGTTTCTGTGACGTGTGGCCTGCGTGTCTGTCCCTCGGTCTTGTACGTTGTGCTTCCCGTGCCTGTCGGGAGCCTGTGGCCCACCTCCTGCCCTTTTCTGTGTCCACGAGAATGGCCTGGCCATTCTCCTTCTGTAACCCGATGGCTGTGACTGAATGCATAGATTCTCTACCTGTGCTTTTCTCTTCCTGTGGCTGCGTTACAAACAGGAGGTGGATGTGCTAAAGAGTACCTGTTACCATAGTAAGTACCGCCTGCTGCCTGGCCCTCTGCTGTTTAATCGGAATTTCCCTGTGCTTTGCCTCATTCCTCTGCTTCTTTGTTGCTTATTAATTTTTGTTTTTTGTTTATTCAAAATAAAAACAAAGGCCCTTCTTTTACCCAGTTCCTCCATTCTGGGCAGTGGCCTTCCTGGAAGGGGCTGGGTCCCCCTGAGCTGTGCGGTGGGCAGCCTGTCCTCGAGTCCCCCCAGGGCCGAGGTGGCACTGCTCCAAGCACTCTGGGTCTCAGAAGTTTCAGAGGGACCACGTGGTCCTGTTGAGCCTTCGAGACAAGTCTAAACTAGACTCAGGCTGGGATTTTGCCACCTGCTGCATGGGGGTCGCATGGGTTTGGATCTTTGCTTAAACTGGGTGCTTAAGCTTAATTTGAGGGGGTGGAAGAGTGACATTTAGTGCTGTTTTCCCAATGTGACATTTGTCAGGTGGTCAGAGTTCCCCCGAGCACCCACAGGCCACCTCTGCATGCTTCGCGGAGTGAGTCCTAACTGCTCCTGCCCAGTCCCGAGCAGCCGTGCCTCTGCAGCTCAGCCCAGCCTCTGGTCACCTCCGCACGTTTGGCTAGATTTCCAGGCACTGAAGGTTTGCTGTTGCCTAACCTGCCAGTGGCTGGTAACTTGGTGGACTATTTTTAGAAATCTACAAAACTGGTTTCCCCCAGGGTCAGTGTAGAAACCAGTCCTCAGGCTGTTTCTTTAAAGTAAGTTCCATTTGGTTCTTTTATGTTTCCATGTTCAAATTGTTCAGGGGGCTTGAATTTTTTGACTGTCCCTTACCTTAGCATTCATCTCTTTTTTAACTCTCCAGCCTAAAATGGCCTTTGTTTGGTGTTGATGTTGATGGGGGTCTGGGAATCAGCTCGTAGTTTTCTACCAGCTGCCACAGCTTTACACAGTTGTCTCCTTGGGGGAGACCAGGTGTCGTGGATACAAATTTAGGCTTGATTTCAGGATTACTAACACATGTCCTTTAAAAGGGTTCAAGTGTTTATAACGCAGACGTTGCAATACTGAAAACGTTCCCACTTGCCTTCGTCACCGTCTGTGACCGGGGACCGAAGCTCTGCGACTGTGTCTGGCTTTGTCAACGTGTTGTCCATGAGAAGGAGCTAAAAACCACCCTGAGGCTGAGCCCCCGTTTTGCACTGTGAGCTGCAGCTAGCCTGAAGCGGAGTAGATCCTACTGGCAGCTTCTCACTCTTGTCTGGTGCAGGGCGTTTGCCATCCCCCTTGGGGGTCCAGGCAGTCGCCCTCTAACCCCGCCTCTCCCACCCCTCCCCCAGACCTGCTGCAGGAGCCGGCTTCGGGAGACGACAGCGGTGCCGCCACCTTCACGCCGACTGTCCCTGACCTGTCCCCTGATGAGCCTTCAGGGGCGCTCTGCTTCCCGGCGCTGGAGGACGAGGAGGGGGAGGGGCTTTGTGAGGCCGGGGGCCCTCCAGCCCCCGCCAGGCCCCCTTCGGCGGCCATCCCTGAGCCAGTCACAGCCCAGGCGGCTGCCGAGGAGGGGGCTGCTGTGGACCCTGGCAGTGACGGGTCTCCGGGCAAGTCCCCCTCCAAAAAGAAGAAGAAATTCCGCACCCCCTCCTTCCTGAGGAAGAGCAAGAAGAGGGGCGACTCCTGAAGGCGCTTCCTGCACAAACCCGGGCCGCCAGACCGTCCCCGACTGTCGCGTGCCCTGTCTCCTTGTGTAGTGGAATGCAAACGGCCCACCCCTGTAGCTAGCGCTCCCCTCGCGGCGTGACCAGACCCCCACGGAGACCGGCGTTAACCTTGTGTGCGCGCAGCGGCCCGGCCTGCAGCCTCGGGTGCTGGGCGAGACTTGGTCTCTGCGTCCACCCCCGAGCCCTGCCCTGCAGGGACCAGCACCTCGGCCCATCGCGTGAGCCCCTCGGGGACACGCTGTCCCCAGGGGCTTAGCTAAGTCCGGGCTCTGGCTGGGTCAGGGGTGGCCCTGCCAGCTCTGGCCTCCACCGCTCTTGCTGTCCTTCTCTTGTGAAGTAATCCGCGCCCCCTCTCTGCTAGGCTCCCTTCACCCCAAGGTCTCGGGTGACTGCATCAGACCTGTAGCTTCTTGCTGGCATTATCTGCTCAGTGATCTCATTTGTTCGGATACACAAAGCCTTGGTCCTGTGAGAACACTCGTGTCCCCCACCAATGGCCTAGGCCACCGTGACGGGCTTTTTGAGAGGTGGGTTTGGGCTGAGCCAGCGGTGCCAGCAGCGGACGGGCCTGTGTACACCCAGGTAACCTATGCATGGTCTCACCGGCCCCCCCACGGCCAAAACCAGACTTGGGGCTCCGTTCCTTACTCACTGGGGGCTCTCGATTCCCTGTCATAGGGAAGGTGCATCAGGAGGGGAAGAGTGCTTTCTAGATGTCCTTTCAGAAAGTCTGCAGTTCACCCTACACGCTGTGAGCGAACGGTCTGCGTTGTGCGTCGTTCTCTCCCCAGGGCCCGTGGCAGAGCGCAGCAGGGCTCAACGCGCTGTCCTGGGAGGTCTGCTCTTAACCTCGGCTCGGCTCGGCCTGGAGGGTACCCTCACTTTCACAGAAGGCATTTCGGGGTACGAGTTGGCCCCAGGCGTCCCACTTGACGCCCTGTGCAGTCACTGGCAAAGCCCACCTCCTACCCTCCAGCGCCACGGTGAATTTCACTGCGCTCACATCCCTGGAAGATAGCAGCTAGCTGCTTAGGAGGAACTAGTGGGTGGCCAGGTGTCTCTTCGACAGTGACCTGTCCCAGGAGCTCCAGTGCCAGCCTGTCTCCCAGACAGGTCCCCAGGAGGGGGGAGGGGCCCTCGGGGGACCCAGTGCCCGACGTGGGCTCAGGTCCCACACACTCGACACCCAGGCAGGACCTGAAGCGGCTGCATGGCGCCGACCTCTGCTTTGAGCTTACTGGCAGGCAAGCCACTTCTCTCCTGTGTATTGTTCCATTGCCAAGATGGTGGTAGAGTTCTCCACCCTCACCCTGCACCTCAGTTAACCTTGGGCTCTTCATTTTATCCCTTCCTCTGACCCCAGGTATGCAATGACTTTCATTTCATTTTTGTAGTTTAACTCTTTGTATTACAACATGAAGTTTAGTTGCAAATACAGACACGGGCTTGGGAGGACAAGTTCTACAGCCTTTCTTCATTGTAACATGTTTTACTCACAAATAAAATTCTTTAAGCAGTTTCCTTGTCTGTCTAAACTTGGGAAGCAGTCTTGCATCTTAATTCCTTTTCTTTGTTCCTTTAACATAGGACTTCAGAAGTTTATTTTCTAAAAAAAGATCCCACGCAGTTTGTCACTTTGGACCACGGAGGACTCTCTACCTGGAAGTGCCCTGCCCCAGTGCCCGCCTGTTCTTCCACAGGGCGCGGAGGGCAGGGTCCAGGTGAGGTGTGGGGAGCCCAGCAGAAGGGTCGCTCCTCCCCAGTCTGCCAGGGTGCAGGACACCCCCCAAGTACCAGCTGGTAAGCGCTGACCCCGGGGCGGGGGCGGGGGCAGCCCTTCATCTGCCTGTCCACCCCTCCCTACAGTGCAGAAGGGAGGGAAACGGGCCTGGGCAAAGCCTCGTGCTCTTCCGGACCGTGGAGCTGTAACTCGTGTTCAGCTCAAGCTGCTTCTCCTGGTGCCTGGGGGGTCTCCCTGGGCAGTGGGTGTGTCGAGACAGAGCTGTGCACTGGAGAAAGGCACTGGGTATAAAACAGCTGCTTTATTTGGTCATTCAGAGGCCTGGCTGAACCCTGTGTGTGTGTCACTAAGTATAAAAAACAAGTGAACAGAAAGCCTGGAAGGTTTTGGAGTCTGAGCCCAGCAGGCAGGTCCACACAGGAGTGTCACAGGCACAAGTGCGAGTCCTGGGCCGCCCCGGGCTGGGGGGCGGGGAGGGAGGAGTCAGGCGGGCAGTGGGGAGTCGTCCTGGCCCAAGCCTGCCACTCCCTGCGTCGGCTGCCCCGCTCTGGGGTAGGCATGGCTCAGCTATTCGGCCTTGAGCATCCCTGCTGGAGGCCTCAGCTTCCGCAGGAGGGAGAAGGGGAGCAGGAAGAGCCCCGCGCACACGGTGTAGCAGCCCTGCGCCCCGGCCAGCCAATACGCTGCGGAGACAGCAGGGGGTGATGGCGACGGTCCCCGCCCAGAGGACAGCGGGGCTGAGCCAGGGGTTCAGTAGCTGGGACCGAGGCGGCCAGCAGGGGCTGTGTGTCCTCCAGCTCGGGCCAGCAGCCCCCTGGACTGGCGGGGCCTCTCCAAGCGCCTAGCACACCCCGAGCGCTATCGCGCAGCCCTCACCTGAGGCGGCCACCATGGGCCCCAGAGCCCTGGCCAGGGCGCCCAAGCTCCGCAGCGTGCCCATGACCACGCCCTTCTGCCCGGGAGAGCCTGTGGGGGAAAGAGGAGAGGCCATCAGGTGCCTGTGGGCTACCCAGGGTGACCTCAGGCAAGGGAAGGGCCTCTCACCGTAGCTGGCGACCACGGAGGACAGGCAGGGCACCACGATGGCAGCGGCTGGTAGGGGACATCAGGGAGGCGCCCGTCAGCCTGGAGGAGGGGCCGACAGGGGTGCGACCCTCCAGGATTCCCGGCCGCCGGCCCCTGACCGCACCCCCGCCAGCCTGGGCAGGGCCACTCACCGAAGGAGTAGAGCAGCAGCCCCAGGCCCAGCATGGGCAGCGTGTGCCCCCAACCGATGAGGAGGAAGGCGGGGACGAGCAGCAGGATGGCCTGCGGGCGGCACAGCTGGTCTCAGGACCACCCCGCTACCTCCGCAGAGCTCAGGGCGCCGCCTGCCCCCACGCCCAGGGGAGCCCCCGTACCCGCTTCACAGCTGCGATCTCCCCGCCAGGGCTGATCTGCCGGGCGTAGGCGCCCTGGATGGTGGCCATCGTGAGGCCGATGAAGAAAAACATCTTTCCCTGCTCTAGGCTGGGAGGGGCGAGCCATCAGCACCCCTTCCCTGCCGCGCCCGTGCTGCTCGCAGGCAGAGCCAGGCAGCCTGGATGACGGCCCGTGCGTCACCCGTCCTCAGCGCGAGGCAGCGCCCACCCCGGGATCCCGGGCTGGGCCCCGGGGGACAGGCCAAGGTGGGAGTCAGCCCTGAAGCAGTGGGGCTGCGGGGCCTCGGGATGGAGAGAGGGCAGGGCATGCCCAGGCGGGGTCCTGGCAGGGGCCCCACACCCCCCC